TATATATATATATATATATATATATTTTTTTTTTTTCTGGTTTTGCCGTCATTAATGCGGTGACAATACGTCGAGGACAAAGGCAATGCGCCGCTGAAAGGTGTTTGGCCAAACGTGCTAAATAGAGTGGGCCAAAAAGCGTTGGCCAACACCAAGGTCGGTGCGGCCAAAACAAAAAGTAATTTGCCAAATTATTTGAGTTTGCGGCTGCCGTAAGTTTAAATAACTTCAATCAGGCTTAGTTCGTTTAGCGACGAGTGGCTGCCCGACCAACGCAGCGAGAGCTGCCAAATTGTATATTTAGCAAGAAAGTTATGCAAGTGCCCACCACGCCGTATCGAAGAGCATTATCTACATAATCATCAGGCATAATTCTGACCCTGACACTCTAATATATTGTATTATATACATTTTTTTTATTTATTGGCGCCTCACTTTTCACTCCACTTTGGGGGCAAAGTTTGAGCAAAATTTCTTTTGTTTGCGCTGACAAACATTTCGCCAGACGACGCGTCTTCGGGCTGGCATTATATATACGATTTTTGTTCTCTATTTTTTCAGATTCCGCATACGCACGGTTAGTCGCGGCTACCTTGCAGCAAATCAAGTGAAATTAGGCACATATTTTTGATTGCTTTCCGAGAAAATGCCGAACTTCGTTTGGCTAAGCATTGTGCAAAGACCAATCTGTATAATCAATGTCAGCAAATTTTTGATTACGAACAAACTCTCCGAGACGGCGGTGTTTCAATTTATTTATGCAATTTTCGTCAGTCTCCTAATTTATTTTAATTTAATTCTTTTCTTTAAATTTTTATGTGTAGATGCCATAAATGTGCATTATAATTTGAACAAAATTAAGTAGATTTTATGGATCTATTTTATTATGCTTGATTAGAAATATAATATTAAAATAAATTATTATACTGGTAAAAATTTTATTAAATATTTAAATACTGCAGAATGCTCAAACTAACAATATAATTTATTTAATTAATTATATTCATTTGAATTGGTAACTATTTATATTTATATTGTTTTAGTATGATTTTTATGAAAATAAAGTCGATTAAATTCTTATTATAAAAATTTATTCATTTCAAGTTATTCTCTCTATTTATATTCTTTCAGTATATAAATATTAAGAAAGCAGAAATATATAAAATCTAAAATTTTAGATTGAATTCCATGGCAAACGCAGTTTGGGACTACCCAATAACATATAATTTAAAGTAAATACTTGAGTAAGTTATTATAATTTATTGAATGTCATTTCATTAAATTTTTGATGTTTTTACAAGTTATTTAACTTGACAATTAGGCTTGTAGGTAAATTAATGTACTTTCCCTATCTGTATTGTATTCAAATAGAATCTGTGACCAAAACAGACAGACGGACAGACAAAAATAATGGCCAGGTTCGTGTACAATTCAATTTAAGCCAGCGCTGCAAAATTGCTTGACCCCAGCCAGCCAGAGCACACAGAGCAATCCCATTAGGCGCTGCACGCTCCAGTCGAGGCAATTAAACAGCCCTCGTATATCCTACGTCATGCCCAAAAGGGGCGGCGCCCCAGACGCATTTACATACTGTTGCTATTTGCTGTAACTCACCTAGCGACCAGGGATAGCGAAACCGGAAACACTTTCATTTTGCGTCCACCCACCAAGTAATCCAAGGCCTCCGAGCCGCGACGCTCCTCGATGCCGGCGGTGCCGGCGCCATCTTTTTCATCGGTGGGCAGTTGGCCCTTTTGCTGTTTCTTCTTCTTCTCGATGAAGCCAAAGTAGAAGCCAATTACGGCACAGACCACCAGCATGGCTATGAAAACCAAATAATCAACAATGCCAAAATGTTGCAGTGCGCTGCTTAAATCGCTCACGCTGGGCTTCTCTGTCATGCTGGACGACGATGTTGTTATTGTTGTTGTTGTCGTTGAGAATGTTGTTGGTATTGTTCCTTCTGTGGTGTCAGCGGTGGTGCTGGTGGGGATGGTGGTGGTGGTGGTGAAGGCAGCTGCGGTGCTGATGCTAGAGCTGCCCAAGTCTGATACACTTGTTGTTGCTTTTGCCGTTGTGCTGCTAATTATGGATTGGACTGTCTGAACAATCGCATTGACCACTGTCGGCGGCGTATTAACAGCCTCAGCCACATCCATTATTATTTCCTCCCGCTGAATGGTCGTTGACATAATTCAGTAGACCGCAAGTTGCTTTTATGTGTTTATTTTCATTGACTTCCTGTCGTGTTGCCCAAGCACACTTTTTGCTTAAATGCGCTCAGCTTTGATTACTTTTGTATTGGTTTACAGACACACACACACATACAGACGTTCACGCTTCGACACTTGTTGCAGACTCCTTCGATTTTTCATTAAGCTTCAGTCAGAAGCTTGTGTATCCTAATGACCAGCACGGATAACTTTGCCACAAGGAAAACTGAACTGCTGGCTGAATTGAAAATTAAAAAAAAAACTAGTTTATATAAACTGCATAAATATTGTGAACTTTTCTTTTCTTCTGTTAATTACTTGTCGTTTAGATATTGTGAAGATTTATTTTATAATCATAAAAAAATGCAAGTATAGAATACACTTTATAAATTACTTTTTTTATATTTGCAAAAATAAAGGTTTGTTAATTGAATGATCGCAAAGTTAATTTTTTTTTTTTTTTTTTTTTTTTTTTTTTTTTTTTTTTTTTTTTTTTTTT